TTGGCCAGCCGAAATATAGTACACCTTCAAAAAATCATTCTACTTTGTGTCGGTTTTTGCTTTTGTATTCCCCATTAATTCGCATTGAGTACAAATTAAAATCTTGGCCTATCACAAACAGGTGATTTTCTCCGTTCGAAGAATGCTTGTAAATGAGCAAAGTATGCAGTTGTAAATATTTATTGGTAACCCGTTGCGGTATATGGAAAAAGAAGTTTTATTATGCATTTCTAAGGTGTGGAAGCCAGCTTTAGAGACAAACGTATACCGAGTGACTTTTCTCAGTTGTCTTGAGGGTCTTAATGGGGTTAACCGTCAACCGTTAAATGGCCAAATAATTGACAGTCAACCGTCAAAAGCGTAGTTTCAGTCTGTCTCCCAAGCTCCTCGCGGCATCGCCGCTCGTCAAGGCGGCTTTGGCGTTCGTTATCGTGGCTTCGCCGCTTTCCTTACGCGCTCAAATTGCTTAAAAACCGCCAAGCTACGCAGGCTATCAAAAGCGCAATATCTTTACCGTCAACCGTATAATAAGCGAACCAATATTAAACGTCAATGTCTTTGATATCCTTAGTTAAGAACTAAACGATTCAAGTTAATGGGGTCAAGTTATGCTGTTTATAAATGATCGTTTTAACATATCACAAAACTAGATATATGCGTAGGGCCCTTCTCTCGAAGGTCCCGAAACGTTCTCGCACTCGGAAAGCCAGAGCAAAATCTCAAACCTTATGATTACAGAGCTGTTTTATTTACATATTCTTAATATGACCAGAAGTTCTCTCCATACAAGAACTTTCAAGCGTAAACACGTTTCTGTTTTTAGATGCGGATGAACTAAAAATGGCTTTGCGAGCCCGAAAGGTCTCCGGGGCGTTGGAGAAACAGGCCCCAGGGGCCCGTTTCTCGAAGGTTCTGAAAAGTTTTCGCACCCGGAAAGCCATAGCAAAAGCTCGAACCTTATGATTACAGAGCTGTTTTATTCACACCTTTTTAATATGAACAGAGGTTCCCTTCATACAAGAAGTTTCAGGCGTATACAGTTCTCCGTTTTTAGATACAAATGAACTAAATATGGCTTTACGGGCCCGAAAAGTTTCCGCGGCTTTCGAGAACGGGCCCAGGTCCTTTAACTTCTAATCTCGAGAAAAGCAAGCGATCAATACGGTAATAAAGGTGGTCATCCCCTCCCCCCCTCGCCCCCGTTGAGACCCTCTAATTAATTTCCGTGTGTTGTTGATTTCTTGGGTTTGTAAGTGTTAAATAAATTCAAGATAGGATCAGCTGTCTCGATAAATATGATTCTTCCTCGTTAACGTGGTCCTTTGTCTGATACAAGAAGCAAGTAGCAAGCTTGTGCGTTTCATAGCTTTGTATAGCTTTCTATGTAATTTAGCATCTGATTGGATCAACAGACGAAAGGTATCCACGCGCTCTAGCCACGCGAGGAGTCTCGTTACTACAGTAGCTCAACAGTATTATAGACAAATAAGTCTCACTGTGTGTGTGTGTTT